ACATTTCTAGCTTTGTCGTTACAATGAACAAAAATAATATGTTTTTAAGTGAAACAATTATTACTCTTCATCTAGGCAGACAAAGTAGTAGACTATATTTTTTCAGTGCTTACATGAGCGTCCCGTCATATCTTTTATTTTTTAAACTTGATTGGTGTGTTATTCATTATTTGGTAATCTATAATAGACTTAAAAGTAATATATACTTGTTATATTTGTTTTACTTTTTGTAATTATCGTTATTATTAAATCGCCTGAAAATATTTATTATCTATAGAATTCATGAATTTTAGATTTTAGATTCCTAATGGTGCGATATAAATGTGCGAGTATTAATTTTAAAATGATGCAAGTTTTTTTTCTGTCTATCATCATCTATTAGGACAGTAAAAATGCTTAGGTTTCTGGTAAAAAAATGAATGTAGTTGGTACTAAAAAGACAATTTTTTAGGTTAAACTAGTTTTTGTAAAATTTTATTTTTAAGTATATCTTGAGTTAAAATTTGTACGATATTAGATATTTAAACTAAGAATAATGATTTAAGTTATTTCGTCGTAATTTAAAAACACTATCTTTAGATACTCGAAACTTGTAACGTATATATTTTAGGAAAAATTAATTCAACCTACTACATTACTAATAGTACTTAAAACAAATTACTTTAGTAACAATATAAATATATTACAAAATATACTTAGTATAAAATTTAGGGTGACAAACCGTCTTCTCAGAATCGTATGCGATGACACACACACACACACATTATAGTAACTTAAAATGATGAAGTACAATTCGACATCAAGCCCACCAAGGTATAACAGAGCGGTTACTTAATTTATTTTTTAGATCTGCGAATTATGTAAAAAAATCTATAATTGAAAAAAAACATTTTATTTTCCAAAGAAATGTTAACATACATTTTTACTTTTAAGTATTTGTAACCGGATAGACAAGTTATACAAATGTTACAAATTAACAATAAAATTCAAGTAACTTTAGCCAATAAAGGTTATAAATTTTAATACGTTTTACTTATTATTAAATAACTTATATTTTATTATACTATGTATTACAACAGACTACAGTAGAAATGCTTATTGCTTACATCGTATAATCTGTTTACCTTGACACTTATAAGTGAATTATTTTCTTTATTTATTATACTTATTTATTAATTTTAAAATTTTATGCAACAATATAATAAATTAATCTGTAGTATGATTTTTCGTTGTATTTTATTTTTCGAACACATTAGATAATAGGTAGTAAAATTTCAAAGTATTCAAGCAGTTTCTATATTATTTTTATTTGTTCAAATTTTAATTTTTCACTTTATGATTATGATTGAAAAAATATAAAAAAAAATGGGAGAAACACTCAGTGAGTTCATACAATAAAAGAAGGTTCGACAATTTTTGAAGAAATTAACGTTTAATTTTTAATGCAATAATTTATTTATAACACTTATAATAGTAGTCTATTATCTCTCATAAAAGAATAATATCTTATTGATTATGGCAAATTTATTATTATTTTCACATCTAATCTTATTTGATGATTTCAGAATAAATTCATTCTTAAATTTAAATTTAAATTTAAGCAATATACAGTGCTAAAGTATATTCATTATCTTTATACTATTAATTCAATATCGTAGAGTATTTGCTAGATACTTAAAGTCTTAAATAAATTAAATTATTTTAATCAATTTAAGTTCTTCAACAATTTCCATCTATGGATTTTTTAATAAATAACTAGTTTAAAAGTGTTTAGACATGTAAGATCTAGAGTATTCTATAAACTTTGGATAACTGATTAATAAAATATTTCATAAAAAAGCTAGAGTAAAATATCTCTATGTGATAATATTACTGTGTCTAAGTATGGAATAATGAAATACGTAAGTATTATGATAAAAACTAAAATGTAGGTAATCTTTCATCAATATTTAATGTTACTACAATTTTCTAAAATTTTAATTTTTCAGGTAAAAAACTATTTAATTAAATTTATTGTTTAGCTTTGTATAAGCTTTTTAGACGACCGGTCTTACGATTTTCATAAAAAAAATCATTTGCAAAATGTACGCGTACTGTGATTAGTTATGCATGTATGTTTATATATATATATATATTATACATTTATACATAACCAACATATTGTATTGAAACAGACAATACTCAGTAGTAAAACAGTTTTTTAATTTAGTCGTTTTCTGTTGTTCATTCTTTTGGAGATGTCTAGGTTAGTCAGTCACAGTTAATTATGTACATCATCATTTAATTTTATCCATTCTTGTAATTCTTGATTAACTATACCATTTGGTATGATTACGTTTTTTAAAATTTAGTATAATTATTATTATATTTTATTTTAAAAATTGAGATTTATAACAAATTTAAAGCAATGGGAATAATGTCCTGACAGATAGTTTATATCATTAATTTATTTTGAGGTAAAAATCAACCCATCAACGTGTATGTTTGTATATAGAATAAATAAATGCTAATTTTCAGTCATAAAACAATCATTTTATCACATGGAATTTGTTTTAAGAGTTTAATATATTACCATTGATATTAAATAGTTTCATTCGTTTAATTTTAAAAATTTTAAAATGTTATCCCATTATAACCAAAATTTTAAGTTTTTTTCATACTTTCACAGGAAAAAATTTTAATTTTTTAAACTTGCAAACAGTAATATTTTAAAATAAACATTATTATTTATTATTTAGGTTCAAATTAATGGTTTAATTTATACAATATATTATATCATATAATAAATGTGTAGACGCTGGCGAATAGATGTTCAATTTAGTAATAATAAGTAAATTATCAGCTTCAATAATTTAAAGTTTATTAGAATGAAAAAGTAAATATTTAATTTTATTATGTTATACATGGAGATAGATAATTCTTAACCACTCCATTCTTCTTATCTAAATTTAATATATATAAACAAATATTTACTTGTTAATGATTTATTAAAATAATATTGAATTCGCAATTCAACATGATTCGGTAATTCAAAATATCTACGCATATGAACTCGCGTAGTAATAAGTTATACAGATTATAATAATACGCAGTTCACATTACAATTCTAATTGAAATTGTTAAAACTACTTGTAGTAAAATACAAAAGCAGAATTTACACATTTTTATTAGCTTTTATAATTTTAGATTACACAATGATTAAGCCTAAACATATTTTACTAATATATTAAGAATTTATGAAAAACTGCAAATAATAGTCAAGTATTAATGAACATTATAATTCAATAATGAATTTCAAGTTATAAATATATATTTAGTAAATTATTGATTATTAAAAAAAAAAAAGGATACAACTGTTAAAAAAACACTTATTTTTAACTTGTAGTCAAACTATGTTAATTCCAATTCATTGAATTTGCTTTGTTACAATCAAAAAAATATAAAATACAATCATATTAATTATACGTACATGTTTTATTATGTATTATCCATGAATAATTTAAAACTATTATTTTTTTTTTTATCTTGAAACTCAAATATTTATATATTATATATATTAACTTGATAAATATTATATAATATTTTTTCTGGACATTTCAATTTTTAATTTTTAAGAACTTATTTAACAACAATAATAAATGTTATATAACATGAAGTCTTAAATTGTATTAAATTTAAATTTGTGATATAAAATCAAAAACGTTCATCATTCAAAAAAATAAACTGTTTTAAATTTTAGGATAAAATTACGAGTGCATAATCCAAAGTTAAATAACACAAATCGTGTAACATAGATAATTGTTCTTAAACAAACCGTGAGTTTTACAATTATAAATACAACTACTTGTAAAAATATATTTAACATTCATAATTTTAAATAATTTTAACAATATACAATGTACACATGTGTCTTGTACGTTGTATAATATTTATGTATGTAAATAATATATGAATTATACTTTAAACATTTCACAAGATATCATATTAACTACTTTATATGATTTATTTTTCGTTGTACCGAATCATATCTAATCGTGCCTAATGATATAAGTTATCAACTTAGTGACACCAATGAATAGCTAAATAACTAACTGTTCTATGTTATTTAATACTTTTTTCACAAAAATAATAAACTCTTAGCATTTTTTAAACAAACTAACTTACTGCCTACCTAATAGACTATTATAAAAGTAATTATTTTACTGTTTTTGGTAAATAAATTTGGAATTTGAAATTTAAAACTATTAAATTATATTATATAAAATGTTATTTTGATAAAATTAGTATTTACATCCGATATGAGCTACAGATATGACTTTGATTATATAGCTGATATAAAATGATGTATCGTTTATTTATTTCACAAATAATTTGTTGTTTTTTTTTATTAATGATATCCTCGGCAACATGGGCCATTGGGTTTACAGTGAGAAATTTACTCAAAGAAAATTACGTGTATTGTATCTATATCTAAATTATACTAGATTTTGTTTAGAGGATTGGCGGCTATGATGAATTGAATGATGTTGGTAATGGATTGAGGATGGTTGTTTAATATTTCTGATAGTAATATAAATAATTTGTTTATTGAACTGCTTATTGTTAAATATAGGAAGTTACATTTAACTTAATAAATATATTTAGTTATATTAAAGTATAAAATAAAATGTAAGTAAAGCTCATTTAAAGTAATAGCTAACACTATTCATGTTAATTATAAAAAAATATTATACCTGCTAATTAAAATGAATAGGGTCAATATATGATGTAAATTATACATATAATACAAAATAGGTAAGTACCTATAATAAGTTTTAATTTTAAATCTTAATACAAAAATAAATAGTAATTAAACCATTATTATGCTTTTAAATAAAAAATTAATGACTTTAGTTGGTTTTTATTTAAAATATGTTTATATTTATAATACAATAAATATCGACTTTAATATGTTAAATTATTTTAAATAAAAAATGCTACATATTGTTTAATTGACTTACCAAAGTATGATGGTATTCATGTGAGTCCGGTGGAAGCCTTTCGTTTTCATTATCCATATTTATTATTTATAATAACTCGCAATAATATAAATTAATATTTAAAAAAAAGAAATATTTTATTTAAAATTTAAAATAAATATTTAAAATAATAAGGTAATAACAATCATTGTTTTACGTTAATAATTACAAGCAACAATCAAGACACGACAGTTCTGCACAACGATGACCACATGACTGTTCACAATCCGTGGAATACATTATCTATATAGTTGTAGTACCGTTACAAAACCTAAGGGAATGTATCGCATTTAAAACAGTTATTTTAAATAATAAACTTACTATTAAATTTATTACAAAAAATATAATACATGGATTTTGAATTAATACAATTTTTTTAAACTTTAACCATACAATTTTTAAAATATATTGTATGATATATGTTTCTTTTATAAATTATAATTTAGCTATAAATCATAAAAATACTATTATAAGATTATACTATTAACGAAATTATGTGTTCATAAAAATATAGAAACTCACATAAATTCTTTTCAGTCGGTATTTACAACAATAAAATATTAATATACACAATTCTTAATATTTATAGATACTATATTTTATATTACTGCACTACTTCTCATATGTAGGTACTACTTATTATTAATAAATTTTAAATATATCTTATATTAGAGTTACTCAAACATTTTACAATTTACCTAAAAAAGATCTAGATATTCACAGATTAAGATGAATTGTAAATAAATTATGCATTGTGAAATCAAAATTAATTTTCACTTCGTGATGAGTTTAGCATGATAGTATGAAAGTCGTACTTAATACAATACTAATGTTAGTTTTTATTCAATTTTATCACTTAAATTTCTACATTATATTGTATATTCAATGAAAAAAAAAAAATAATAATGCATGACAATATATAATATGTATAGTATACATAGTAGTCAGTATTACATAACGTATACGTTATAATTAAATAAAGTACAGATTTATACAATAATTTTCAACCCCCCAATAATCAAGTAAGCTTTGGAAGTAACTATAACTATTATTTTGTCTACGTGAAATGTTATCAAATACCTAATTTTTAATGTTATAATGTGATAACAATTTTAGTATAAATTATAGGTAGGTCAGTATTTTAATTGTTTTAATAAAAATGATATGGTTCCAACAATCCAACACCCAAGATAACGCTTTATTTTAACACAGCATTACTATAAATTATGCTATATTATCATTAAAATGTTTTAATAGTGAGAGTGGTTATGATTTCAATACTAACAAGTATTATTTAAATGTTTATTTCAATCTACTTTAATGATATACGAGTATAGATAAGTAGTTTTTAGTTAGTATAGGCTTATTTTAAATGTAATGAATAATATTAATAGTTTTTTTTTTTATTTATTAAAAATCGAATTTTCTTAATTTCTAAATTAACAGTTATTTTATTTTATTTATTGATTTTTCAATTTTCAACCATTTTACTCATTATTTAATTTGTATATTATGCGTATTACACATATTTATGTTATAATAAAAAAAAATTGTTTTACAACTTTATTCAATACAGGATACAAGTAGACGAAGGTGATAGACTGATACCTATACGTTCAATTTATAATCAACTATAGATATGAATATTAATTGTAAGTTTAGCTGTGTAGGACATAGGAAGGCATCTGTATTCATATTACAGTCTTAGTTTTTACAGGAAAGTTAATTTAATGTATATTATATCTGTTTTTTAATTATTTTAACATTAATAAAAAATAATGATTAAGTTAAAATTTTAAAAAATCCTATTTTTACACCTATGTTGGAAGAAGTTTTCTAAAAAACTATAGTACTTTATTATACAATTTTATATTAATACCTACTTACATAATTTATATTAAAATTAAAAAAAAATTTAAAGTATGTACTGTACATATTACCCACCAGAAACTATTTATATGAATTATATTTATATTTAAATATCAACTATTAGGTAGTTAATGAAAATTATGTTCTCTGTTTATGTGTAAATCCTTTAAATAAGGTTTAGATTTTTAGCAAACAATGATTGCAGCCTTATTGACTTTTTTTCTTATAAGTTATAAAGTCTACAGACTATAATTAAAAAATATGTATTTATCTACTGTATTATTATATTTATAGAGCATACAGTTAATGGTTATTTTTTTAACTAAGATATATCTTAGTTCATGTTTCAGATAAATAATATAAATGAGACAATGATATTATGTATGTATGTAGTTTATTTTAAATAGCTTAAGCTTAAGTTTTAAATTATTTATGTATAAGTGCTTTAAAAATATAAAAATTATACTTTTAACTTACATAATTATAAATAACTTACTTAAATTGTTGTCTAGTCAGCTGAAGAATGAATTTTAATTTAATTCGATAGTTTTTTAGTTTTAACTAAACATATTTAATGAAGTGTTGAAAAAAAAAAGTAAAAACATATAAAAGGATTACTAATTTCGTTTTTATTATTTGTTGGTTAACGCCAACCATCTACTAAATGATGATAAACATTAATGCTATGTTTCCTATAAAATAGAACATATAATGTTGCTATTTTAATTTGTTTGTACTTAAATTCGCTTTTCATTTTTATAAACATAGCAAAAGATTATTCTGTTGGTATATTTTCATTGGTGGTTTATTAAAATTAAAATAAAATCGTATGTTACGCATAAATTTAATAACATAAGGTTAATGGTGGATGCATAACAATAATTATAAATAAATTCTACTGTTGCGTATTACATAGGTATACTTAACAAATTGCAATAAGGACATTATACACTTTATCTTAATAAATAAGCTGACATTGAACTATTCATATAATGTCAAAAGCTGAACTAATTTGAACCGCGATTTAATGGCACAGATTTAATAAACATATTATCTAATACGTAGGTTTATTAATCCAAAATATATATATATTACCATTGAGTATAATGGTAGCTATATGACGTCCGTTTAAAACACATACGTATGACAACTACCTATGTATAATATACATTGTATATATAATATATTATATATTATTATATTAACAATTTTATTGGATTTAATATATTTTTTTTTTTAATATCTTAACTCATTTATTACTTAAGCTTAATTTTTGAAATGATATACAATTGTCACTTCATTACATTTTCTCTTTTTTTTTACATTATTCAACATAGTAAAATAAATGACGTAGGTACAATTATTTGTTTACAAGTTGTATATCTAGTTTTTATAAGTTTTTGTGGCGTAAATACTCAACATTAGTGGTGGATCTAAAATTTATTTATTTATGAAGATGTAAACAGTTTTTTAAAATAATATTAGTTACATTATGTATGTATGTAAAAAACTCATTATAATATAGAAACATGCAAATATTATTAGTTACAATTGCAATACAATACTGAAATTGCTGTAAATAAATACCCGTATTCGGTATTATCAAAGATATCAAATTATTATTACTATTAATAGTTTAATCAACTATGTCCAAAGTAATAGGTAAAGATGGGGGTAGACTACTATGTGTGACATATTGTAAGATGCTTAAATTAACGTTGTAACAAAATTGGAATTCAATAAATATTTTAATAAATGCTTAGTTCTCTATTTAAAAAAAAAAATAAATCTCGTAATAATTGAATGATTTGTACATATATATATATATATATATACAATTTAAGCATTATCATACTCTGTGTAAAAATAATTGTATAATGTATACTGCAGTAATACAATTGAACTACGCGTTACTCAATTATCTGAAAGGTCATTGATTCATTGATATGTATATCATGTACATATATTTTAACTGAATTAAAGAATAGTATACCTATTGGCTTTCATCGAAAACTATAACAACTAAATTAAAATATAAACACTTTTTTTCCTGATTAATCAACAACAGTGGAGGATCTAATATTTACGCTTAAAATAGTATGTCATACTTGTCTTTCCAACGTATATAACTAACACATTTTACGTCATTTTATGTTCAAAACAATCCATTTTTCTCTGTTATTTTATTATTTTCAGAATGAATTAACCTATTAATAAATTTAAAAGTTAAAATATTTTCTGGGTAGATATTGTAAATTAAAAACTATTTTTATGAATATAAAAGGATGAATTATCGCGTTTTCTTAGTTTGTCCACTGCAAAATAAGAAATAACGATGGTAAAACTCTTATAAAGATATATAATTATTATGTTAATATTCAAGTAATTTAACAACCTCATGGACTGATTGAAATAAATAAATAAAATATAATTATAATTATAAGGAATGGTAAAATATAAGTGTGTAGAGTTGTGTCATTATGATTTGGTGCCTGGACCAAAATTAAAAATATTCACCACCTCTTACATTAACTTACTGTTTGATCTTTTTCAACTTATTTAGTATAATCATGTTTACTTTTTTTGTAAAATTTTAAGCATTTTTTGTAAAAATAATATAGTAACTTAAAACTTAGTAAATAGTGTAATTAATACTGTAATTATGAAAAAAAAAAATTGCATGATTATTAGTAAACGTTATTTAATTATGATTATGTATAATATAAAATTCAAAATTATTGCTGTAAAATATTAAATCGGGCCATGAACTTTTTGGCGCCCCCTTAAAATGTGTGCCGGAAACACAGATCCTTATTGCTCTTATCCCACGGCACGGCTTTATAAGTTTGTATAATATTTTACAAAAGTTACTTTTTAAAACAATATATTTTACATAATCACATAATTAATATAACATAACCTAGTGAATAAAGTGAGTAGGACATTTGCATTCATTAGTATTTATTTGTGTAAGAAGTAAGAACTTATACATACGGCCATGGGTGTATTTTTTTATGCAGGACATTACGTATGCATAACCATGAACAATTTTTATCTGTTATTTCTCATGTAGGATCTTACTTTTGCTTAAGAGTTAAAGAACGTTACACCTGTATATATTGTCTCTTTTTTACAAATATATATCATAACAAATTTACATTTAGTAAAACCAATTTTATGTTTTTAGCTTTAAAATAAGAGTAGTTTGTCTTATTATCAAAGTTAAAAATAAGAACATTATTTATGCTTAAGCTTTGGATTTTTTCGATATTTTACTTTTTAAATAAAATATAAGTATTGTAATCATCAAAAGTTAAAAAATATGCTCATATAATATCTACCATAAAAATTAAAATATTTAAAAAAGCCAATTCTTAAGCC